GCGTCAGCCAACACAACATCCAGAGCCTTAAGGAACTCCGGGCGGATCTCATCCACCCCGGAGCCTTGCCACAGAGGAGCTTTTAACCACCTCAGTGACCTCCGCACCAGAGATTTGAGAGGCCAACCCAAAGTCCCCAGACTCTGCTTCCTCACTGGAAGACGTGTCGGTGGGATTGAGGAGGTCTTCGAAGTATTCTGCCCACCGATCCACAACGTCCTGGTCAGCAGAACATCGTCCCCACTATAAACAGTGGGGTGGACCAGATTCTCCTCAAAGCTGTACAGAAATCTTTCTCCAAGGTCTCACCGAACTCCTCCCATGCTCAGGTTTTTGCCTCCTTGACCACCAGAGCCACATTCCGCTTGGACTGCCGGGAGCCGTCAGCTTCCCCTGGAATTCCACAGGCCACAAATCACATCAAATCAATCAAAGATACTTTTTTTATCCCAGAGGGAAAGACCTGATAGGACTCTTTCTTCAGCTTGACAGCATTCCAAACTGCCAATGTCCACCATCGGGTTCGAGGGTTGCCGCCATGAAAGGCACCGACAACCCTGCGACAACAGCTCTAGTTGGCCGCCTCAACAATGGAGACACGGAACAGGTCCCATTTGGACTCACCGTCTCCCGTCTCCCCCGGAAGGTTTTGGAATTTCTGTTGGAGGTGGGAATTGAAGCTCCGTTTGACAGAGTTTCCTGTCAGACGTTCCCATCAGACCCTTGCAATACGTTTGGTCCTGCCAGGTCAGACTGGCATCCTCCCCCACCACCAGAGCCAACTCACCACCAGGTAGTGGTCAGGTGACAGCTCCGCCCCTCTCTTCACCCGAGTGTCCAAGACATGAAACAGCAGATCACGCACATAGGCAGAGGGAGGCTACCGTCTCGTTCACCGGGGTAAACTCCTACATGCAGGCACCAAGATGGGGGCAACTAGAATGCCCACCCCTGCTCGGCGCCTCTCAGTGGGGGCAAGTCCAGAATGGTAGAAAGTCCAACCCCTCTCAAGGAAACTGGTTCTGGAGCCAGAGCCATGTGCTGAGGTGAACAAGGTAAATGTCCGTATTAGGTAAACGGGCTGTAGTTGATGCTTGTGCCGACTTCAGCCACGATGTGTTCAGGGATGCTCGGAAATACAGAATTTGAAATAAAGGCTTTTGGACATATTTGTTTTTAAATTTTTATGATTTTCTATTAATATTCACGTTTGTTCTATTCTCTAACTTGTTTCTAACTTTATTCTCTATCCGCTCTGGGCAGCATCGTCCTCAGAGTTTCATTAAACGGGTTTTTTCTGACGATGTTGAATCTGTTTTCAGGTAGTTTTTTTTACATGGATTATGAGGGATTGTGCTCTAAAATGGAAACCTCTGGTTCCTCTTTGGCTCCATGTGCCGTTTGTGTTTGTAAGGTTTGAAACGACTGGATCCTCCTCATCTTATCCAGATTTCTTTTCTCATAAAGGTTTGGTTTAGTGTTACTCCTGAGTTTCAGAAAGCTGGATTATAGGAAGTCTTTAGTGGCTTCCAAGATTTTTTACTTCATTCTGGAACGTTTTTATGGGTTTGGGCTAAAAATGACTAAACAAATGAATGTCTATGCTGCTGAGGTGGTTCTGGACTTGTGTGTAATGTTTCAGGGAAAGGTCAGAGGTCATGACCCTTTTACTCACACGTGTCAGCTTGTTGTTGTTCCACACAATCCAAATTCGTTTCTCATCCTTTCACACTGTGACCCTGACATCACCGCACACAGGACGCTGATTCGATCAGCTCCTATCGTAGAGCTCACGTCTCTGTGGTTCTGTTTCTGCAGGCAGGCCCAGCAACTGCTCTCACCCTCTGGTGCCAGAACATGGAGGCTTCCGCTGCAGCCCGTCTCCCTGCCGCGGCTTCCCCCCCAAGAGCTTCATCCGGTTCTTCTGTGAGCCTGGGTACCACATCAGCTCCAAGGAGCCCAACTCCAAGTGTCGCCACGGGAAGTGGTTCCCTCCCATTCCCGCCTGCATCAAAGGTGCAGACTTGAAATGTGAACACACACCCACACATACATACGCAGCTGAGGGTCCAGAGAGAAAGGGTTGTTGCTGTTTAATGTCCACAACCACGTAAAACCAGGATTTTTTATTTTATTTTGCATCAGGGACATGAGTTGACTGGGAGGAAGAATGCATCTTCATTAACACTGGTACATATGAGAGTTGGACACAAAATAAAAATGGCATTTTAGGACATTCGTTGTCAACACGGGGGGCTGTGCAGTGGCGCAGTGGTTAGAGCTGTTGCTTTGCAGCGAGAAGGTCCTGGGTTAGCTTCCCAGCCTGGGATCTTTCTGCATGGAGTTCGCATGTTCTCCCTGTGCTCGCGTGGGTTCTCTCCGGGTTCTCCAGCTTCCTCCCACCGTCCAAAACATGACTGTCAGGTTGATTGGTCTGTCTAAATTGTCCTTAGGTGTGTGCGTGCATGATTGTTTCTCCTGTGTGTCTCTGTGTTGTTCTGCTATGGACTGGCTCTCTGTCCAGGGTGTACCCCGCCTGATTGACCATTGACCGCTGGAGATAGGCCCCAGCCCCCGCGATCCCACGTGGACAAGCAGGTTCAGACAATGGATGGATGGACGGATGGTTGTCAACACATAGATAAATTAACACGTGGCAGCAGAAAATATTTAAAAAGACACACAACTGAAGTAGTTCAAGCCTTTTATTGTTTCTAATATTGATGATTGTGGCGTACAGCTCATGAAAACCCAAAACTCCTATCTCAAAAAATTAGCATATCATGAAAAGGTTCTCTAAACGAGCTATTAACCTAATCATCTGAATCAACTAATGAACTCTAAACACCTGCAAAAGATTCCTGAGGCTGTGAGAAACTCCCAGCCTGGTTCATTACTCAAACCCGCAATCATGGGTAAGACTGACGACCTGACCGCTGTCCTGAAGGCCATCAATGACACCCTCAAGCAAGAGGGTAAGACACAGAAAGACATTTCTGAACGAATAGGCTGTTCCCAGAGTGCTGTATCAAGGCACCTCAGTGGGAAGTCTGTGGGAAGGAACAAGTGTGGCAGAAGACGCTGCACAACCAGAAGAGGTGACCGGACCCTGAGGAAGATTGTGGAGAAGGACCGATTCCAGACCTTGGGGGACCTGCGGAAGCAGTGGACTGAGTCTGGAGTAGGAACATCCAGAGCCACCGTGTACAGGTGTGTGCAGGAAATGGGCTACAGGTGCCGCATTCCCCAGGTCAAGCCACTTTGAACCAGAAACAGCGGCAGAAGCGCCTGACTTTATGGAATTGGGCGTTTTTGGAAGCATGTCTCCCAGCAGCTCCATCCTGACCCAGTTAGCACCTGGTTTATAATCTACTCAGGACGGATGGTTCACGGCTGTTGAGCCTTTTTAAATGGTACACCTAAATATGGTAAGATGCATTTTAAATTGTATTGTTTTTGCACAACCTGGCATCTGCATCAGGTCTGATTTATTTCATTTGTAATTTTAGTAAAATCAGCGGAAAAGGAGGGATTTGCAGCGTCAGCACGTTATCTTCTGACCTCTTTAAAAGATCCTCAGATACCGAGTCACTTTAGAAGAACTTGCAGCTTTGCCAGTTCCGACTTCCTTTGTCACCATTCAGTCAAACGTGCACCAACAGGAAGTCAGAGTGCAGAAAGAGGAAGTGGGCAAAGCCGCTGAAATAACCATTAGGTTTGTTTCCTCTGTGCTGATGCTGTCTGGTGCCCGTGGAAAGTTACCAAATGACTCGGTTTCCTATAAGATGAGGTTTCTGCTGAGGCCAGTACCCAGAACACCAGCTGGTTCCCACAGCACAGCCGTTAGAGATCAGCTGTTCACAGCAACCTGTTGAAGCTCCAGATGTCAAACTGTCCAAGACTCCGTCCTGCACGTGAGCCTGAAGCTGCAGGTGCTCTACCAGTAACGTTTCTGCTGCATCATGGGTTTGGTGGTTTTGCTTCCTTTGTGATTCTGAAACCCTTTTCAGCAGGAATTTAGCCAAAGAAAATCTGTATTTGGGACATTTTTCATTCACATGGAGCAACGGGAGTTGGGTTAGAATGTCCGTCATTCATTATAATAATAATAGTAAAACGTTCCTGTAGAAGCGAATCTACATGTGTTTTTTGGATGTGAAGAAGGCGTTTGACCGCGTCCCACGGATGGGGGGGGGGGCTGTGGGGGGTACCAGGCCCTCCCATACGGGCTAGTAGGGCCCTGAATGACCGGTGCCAGAGCTTGGTCCGCATTGCCGGCAGTAAGTCGAGCTCGTTCCCGATGAGAGTTGGACTCCGCCACGGCTCAAGTGGCTGGGGAGAGGGCAGTCAGAGGCCCTCTGCTTAGGCTGATGACCCCGCGACCCGACCCCAGATATGCGGCTGAAAACGGACGGAGGAGTAGTTTTTTAAATAGTTTGATTCATATTTTCTGTTTAAAGGCCAGTGAAGGTTTTAACCTCTACGTTCTGCAGGTCATCTCCTGCTGTTCATTCCCAAACTGAATTACAAATCCATGGAGAGTGCTTCTACGCTCTGGAGTGCACTCCCTGTTCCCAAGCATCTGGCTCCTCTTCACTTCTCCAGACCGGCTTTTGGCCAATAACTCCTCAGCAGTGGACCGTGTTGCTGCTTCCTTCTCTTCTTGCTTTCATTCTGTCTGGTTTTTACTACATGTGCTGTACCCCCCCTCTCTGACCTGCTGACTTGCTTTCGCCCTCTCTGACCTGCTGACTTGCTGTCGCCCTCTCTCTGACCTGCTGACTTGCTGTCGCCTTCTCTCTGACCGGCTGACTTGCTTTCGCCCTCTCTGACCTGCTCACTTGGGGTCGCCCTCTTGCTGACCTGTTGACTTGCTTTCGCCCTCTCTCTGACCTGCTGACTTGCTGTTGCCCTCTTGCTGACCAGCCGACTTGCGGTCGCGCTCTCTCTGGCCAGCCGACTTGCGGTCGCCCTCTTGCTGACCTGCTGTTGCCCTCTCTCTGACCTGCTGTTGCCCTCTCGCTGACTTGCTGTTGCCCTCTCCCTGACTTGCTGTTACCCTCTCTCTGACCTGCTGTTACCCTCTCTCTGACCTGGTGACTTGCTGTTGCCCTCTCTCTGACCTGCTTGACTTGCTGTCGCCCTCTCTCTGACTGGCTGACTTGCTGTCGCTCTCTCTCTGACCTGCTGACTTGCTGTCGCCCTCTCTGACCTGCTCACTTGCAGTCGCCCTCTCTCTGACCTGCTGACTTGCTGTCGCCCTCTCTGAACTGCTCACTTGCAGTCGCCCTCTCTCTGACCTGCTGACTTGCTGTCGCCCTCTCTGAACTGCTCAATTGCGGTCGCCCTCTCTCTGACCTGCTGACTTGCTGTCGCCCTCTCTGACCTGCTCACTTGCAGTCGCCCTCTCTCTGACCTGCTGACTTGCTGTCGCCCTCTCTGAACTGCTCAATTGCGGTCGCCCTCTCTCTGACCTGCTGACTTGCTGTCGCCCTCTCTGACCTGCTCACTTGCAGTCGCCCTCTTGCTGACCTGCTCACTTGCGGTCACCCTCCTGCTGACCTGCTGTTGCCCTCTCTCTGACCTGCTGTCGCCCTCTCGCTGACTGGCTGTTGCCCTCTCCCTGACCTGCTGTCGCCCTCTCTCTGACCTGCTGTTGCCCTCTCTCTGACCTGCTGTCGCCCTCTCGCTGACTGGCTGTTGCCCTCTCGCTGACCGGCTGTCGCCCTCTCTCTGACCTGCTGTCGCCCTCTCTTTGACCTGCTGTTGCCCTCTCTCTGACCTGCTGACTTGCTGTCGCCCTCTCTCTGACCTGCTGACTTGCTGTCGCCCTCTCTGAACTGCTCAATTGCGGTCGCCCTCTCTCTGACCTGCTGACTTGCTGTCGCCCTCTCTGACCTGCTCACTTGCAGTCACCCTCTTGCTGACCTGCTCACTTGCGGTCGCCCTCCTGCTGACCTGCTGTTGCCCTCTCTCTGACCTGCTGTCGCCCTCTCGCTGACTGGCTGTTGCCCTCTCCCTGACCTGCTGTCGCCCTCTCTCTGACCTGCTGTCGCCCTCTCTTTGACCTGCTGTCGCCCTCTCTCTGACCTGCTGTCGCCCTCTCGCTGACTGGCTGTTGCCCTCTCGCTGACCGGCTGTCGCCCTCTCTCTGACCTGCTGTCGCCCTCTCTTTGACCTGCTGTTGCCCTCTCTCTGACCTGCTGACTTGCTGTCGCCCTCTCTCCGACCTGCTGACTTGGTGTCACCCTCTTGCTGACCTGTTGTTGCCCTCTCTCTGACCTGCTGTCGCCCTCTCGCTGACCTGCTGTCGCCCTCTCGCTTACCGGCTGTCGCCCTCTCTCTGACCTGCTGTCGCCCTCTTTTTGACCTGCTGTTGCCCTCTCTCTGACCTGCTGACTTGCTGTCGCCCTCTCTCTGACCTGCTGACTTGCTGTCGCCCTCTCTGAACTGCTCAATTGCGGTCGCCCTCTCTCTGACCTGCTGACTTGCTGTCGCCCTCTCTGACCTGCTCACTTGCAGTCGCCCTCTCTCTGACCTGCTGACTTGCTGTCGCCCTCTCTGAACTGCTCAATTGCGGTCGCCCTCTCTCTGACCTGCTGACTTGCTGTCGCCCTCTCTGACCTGCTCACTTGCAGTCGCCCTCTTGCTGACCTGCTCACTTGCGGTCGCCCTCCTGCTGACCTGCTGTTGCCCTCTCTCGGACCTGCTGTCGCCCTCTCGCTGACTGGCTGTTGCCCTCTCCCTGACCTGCTGTCGCCCTCTCTCTGACCTGCTGTCGCCCTCTCTTTGACCTGCTGTTGCCCTCTCTCTGACCTGCTGTCGCCCTCTCGCTGACTGGCTGTTGCCCTCTCGCTGACCGGCTGTCGCCCTCTCTCTGACCTGCTGTCGCCCTCTCTTTGACCTGCTGTTGCCCTCTCTCTGACCTGCTGACTTGCTGTCGCCCTCTCTCTGACCTGCTGACTTGCTGTCACCCTCTTGCTGACCTGCTGTTGCCCTCTCTCTGACCTGCTGACTTGCTGTCGCCCTCTCTCTGACCTGCTGACTTGCTGTCACCCTCTCTCTGACCTGCTGACTTGCTGTCGCCCTCTCTCTGACCAGCTTGACTTGCTGTCGCCCTCTCTCCGACTGGCTGACTTGCTGTCGCCCTCTCTCTGACCGGCTGACTTGCGGTCACCCTCTTGCTGACCTGCTGACTTGCTGTTGCCCTCTCTCTGAACTGCTCACATGCGGTCGCCCTCTCTCTGACCTGCTGACTTGCTGTCGCCCTCTCTGACCTGCTCACTTGCAGTCACCCTCCTGCTGACCAGCCGACTTGCTGTCGCCCTCTTGCTGATCTGCTGTTGCCTTCTCTCTGACCTGCTGTCGCCCCCTCGCTGACTGGCTGTTGCCCTCTCCCTGACCTGCTGTCGCCCTCTCGCTGACTGTCTGTTGCCCTCTCTCTGACCTGCTGTCGCCCTCTCTTTGACCTGCTGTTGCCCTCTCTCTGACCAGCTGACTTGCTGTCACCCTCTCTCTGACCTGCTGACTTGCGGTCACCCTCTTGCTGACCTGCTGTTGCCCTCTCTCTGACCTGCTGACTTGCTGTCGCCCTCTTGCTGACCTGCTGTTGCCCTCTCTCTGACCAGCTGACTTGCGGTCGCCCTCTTGCTGACCTGCTGACTTGCTGTTGCGCTCTCTCTGACAGGCTGACTTGCTGTCGCCCTCTCTGACCTGCTCACTTGCCGTCGCCCTCTTGCTGACCTGCTCACTTGCGGTCGCCCTCTTGCTGACCTGCTCACTTGCGGTCGCCCTCTTGCTGACCAGCCGACTTGCTGTCGCCCTCTTGCTGACTGGCTGTTGCCCTCTCTCTCACCTGCTGTTGCCCTCTCTCTGACCTGCTGTCGCCCTCTCTCTGACCTGCTGACTTGCTGTCGCCCTCTCTCTGACCTGCTGACCTGCTGTCGCCCTCTCTCTGACCGGCTGACTTGTGGTCGCCCTCTCTCTGACCGGCTGACTTGTGGTCGCCCTCTTGCTGACCTGCTCACTTGCGGTCGCCCTCTTGCTGACCAGCCGACTTGCTGTCGCCCTCTTGCTGACTGGCTGTTGCCCTCTCTCTGACCTGCTGTTGCCCTCTCTCTCACCTGCTGTTGCCCTCTCTCTGACCTGCTGTCGCCCTCTCTCTGACCTGCTGACTTGCTGTCGCCCTCTCTCTGACCTGCTGACCTGCTGTCGCCCTCTCTCTGACCGGCTGACTTGCGGTCGCCCTCTTGCTGACCTGCTCACTTGCGGTCGCCCTCTCGCTGACCTGCTAACTTGCTGTCGCCCTCTCTGACCTGCTCACTTGCGGTCACCCTCTTGCTGACCTGCTGACTTGCTGTTGCCCTCTCTCTGATCTGCTCACTTGCGGTTGCCCTCTTGCTGACCTGCTGACTTGCTGTTGCCCTCTCTCTGACCTGCTCACTTGCGGTTGCCCTCTTGCTGACCTGCTACTTGCGGTCGCCCTCTTCCTGACCTGCTGACTTGCTGTCGCCCTCTCTGACCTGCTGACTTGCTGTCTCCCTCTCTCTGACCTGCTGACTTGCTGTCGCCCTCTCTCTGGCCGGCTGACTTGCTGTCACCCTCTGTCTGACCAGCTGACTTGCTGTCGCCCTCTCCCTGACCTGCTGACTTGCTGTCGCCCTCTCCCTGACCTGCTGACTTGCTGCCGCCCTCTCTGACCTGCTGTCGCCCTCTCGCTGACTTGCTGTCGCCCTCTATCTGATCTGCTGACTTGCTGTCGCCCTCTCTCTGACCTGTTGACTTGCTGTCACCCTCTCCCTGACCAGCTGACTTGCTGTCGCCCTCTCTCTGACCTGTTGACTTGCTGTCGCCCTCTCTCTGACCTGCTGACTTGCGGTCACCCTCTTGCTGACCTGCTGTTGCCCTCTCTCTGACCTGCTGTCGCCCTCTCTTTGACCTGCTGTTGCCCTCTCTCTGACCAGCTGACTTGCTGTCACCCTCTCTCTGACCTGCTGACTTGCGGTCACCCTCTTGCTGACCTGCTGTTGCCCTCTCTCTGACCTGCTGACTTGCTGTCGCCCTCTTGCTGACCTGCTGTTGCCCTCTCTCTGACCAGCTGACTTGCGGTCGCCCTCTTGCTGACCTGCTGACTTGCTGTTGCGCTCTCTCTGACAGGCTGACTTGCTGTCGCCCTCTCTGACCTGCTCACTTGCCGTCGCCCTCTTGCTGACCTGCTCACTTGCGGTCGCCCTCTTGCTGACCTGCTCACTTGCGGTTGCCCTCTTGCTGACCAGCCGACTTGCTGTCGCCCTCTTGCTGACTGGCTGTTGCCCTCTCTCTGACCTGCTGTTGCCCTCTCTCTCACCTGCTGTTGCCCTCTCTCTGACCTGCTGTCGCCCTCTCTCTGACCTGCTGACTTGCTGTCGCCCTCTCTCTGACCTGCTGACCTGCTGTCGCCCTCTCTCTGACCGGCTGACTTGTGGTCGCCCTCTTGCTGACCTGCTCACTTGCGGTCGCCCTCTTGCTGACCAGCCGACTTGCTGTCGCCCTCTTGCTGACTGGCTGTTGCCCTCTCTCTGACCTGCTGTTGCCCTCTCTCTGACCTGCTGTTGCCCTCTCTCTGACCTGCTGTCGCCCTCTCTCTGACCTGCTGACTTGCTGTCGCCCTCTCTCTGACCTGCTGACCTGCTGTCGCCCTCTCTCTGACCGGCTGACTTGCGGTCGCCCTCTTGCTGACCTGCTCACTTGCGGTCGCCCTCTCGCTGACCTGCTAACTTGCTGTCGCCCTCTCTGACCTGCTCACTTGCGGTCACCCTCTTGCTGACCTGCTGACTTGCTGTTGCCCTCTCTCTGACCTGCTCACTTGCGGTTGCCCTCTTGCTGACCTGCTACTTGCGGTCGCCCTCTTCCTGACCTGCTGACTTGCTGTCGCCCTCTCTGACCTGCTGACTTGCTGTCTCCCTCTCTCTGACCTGCTGACTTGCTGTCGCCCTCTCTCTGGCCGGCTGACTTGCTGTCACCCTCTGTCTGACCAGCTGACTTGCTGTCGCCCTCTCCCTGACCTGCTGACTTGCTGTCGCCCTCTCCCTGACCTGCTGACTTGCTGCCGCCCTCTCTGACCTGCTGTCGCCCTCTCGCTGACTTTCTGTCGCCCTCTATCTGATCTGCTGACTTGCTGTCGCCCTCTCTCTGACCTGTTGACTTGCTGTCGCCCTCTCCCTGACCAGCTGACTTGCTGTCGCCCTCTCTCTGACCTGTTGACTTGCTGTCGCCCTCTCCCTGACCAGCTGACTTGCTGTCGCCCTCTCCCTGACCTGCTGACTTGCTGTCGCCCTCTCCCTGACCTGCTGACTTTCTGTCGCCCTCTCTGACCTGCTGTCGCCCTCTCCCTGACCTGCTGACTTGATGTCGCCCTCTCTCTGACCTGCTGACTTGATGTCGCCCTCTCCCTGACCTGCTGACTTGCTGTCGCCCTCTCCCTGACCTGCTGACTTTCTGTCGCCCTCTCTGACCTGCTGTCGCCCTCTCCCTGACCTGTTGACTTGCTGTCGCCCTCTCTCTGACCTGCTGACTTGCTGTCGCCCTCTCTCTGACCTGTTGACTTGCTGTCGCCCTCTCCCTGACCAGCTGACTTGCTGTCGCCCTCTCTCTGACCTGTTGACTTGCTGTCGCCCTCTCCCTGACCAGCTGACTTGCTGTCGCCCTCTCCCTGACCTGCTGACTTGCTGTTGCCCTCTCCCTGACCTGCTGACTTACTGTCGCCCTCTCTGACCTGCTGTCGCCCTCTCCCTGACCTGCTGACTTGATGTCGCCCTCTCCCTGACCTGCTGACTTGCTGTCGCCCTCTCCCTGACCTGCTGACTTTCTGTCGCCCTCTCTGACCTGCTGTCGCCCTCTCCCTGACCTGTTGACTTGCTGTCGCCCTCTCTCTGACCTGCTGACTTGATGTCGCCCTCTCTCTGACCTGCTGACTTTCTGTCGCCCTCTCTGACCTGCTGTCGCCCTCTCCCTGACCTGTTGACTTGCTGTCGCCCTCTCTCTGGCCTACTGACTTGCTGTCGCCCTCTCTCTGACCTGCTGACTTGCGGTCACCCTTTCTCTGACCTGCTGACTTGCTGTCGCCCTCTCTCTGGCCTACTGACTTGCTGTCGCCCTCTCTCTGACCTGCTGACTTGCGGTCACCCTTTCTCTGACCTGCTGACTTGCTGTCACCCTCTCCCTGACCTGCTAAAGGCTAAGAGATGTTATTATTTTATGACCCTCAGATGGTCCCAACATGAGGTCCAGTGAGGATGACTCCATGCCCGGCATGGCCACCACTGCGGTAGGCGTGTCCATTTTTCTCCTCACCACCACCGCCTGCCTGGTCATCAAGTCCCGCCTCTACCCTTGTCAGTCGTGCGGGTACGGAGGCGCTGAATATTTCGTTTTTGGAGATCTTCAAAAGATCTTCAGATGTTTCTCATCTAACGTTCCTCTTCGTTGTTTCCCAGCAGCCGTTGCTCCTCTGACCAGCTGGACCTGATGGTGGATGGACTTCCTGTCTCCTTGCCGTCCTACGAGGAGGCCGTGTACGGCAGCTGGGGCCAGCGGATCCCTCCCTGCTCTGCTCCTGGACCCACTCAGCTCCTCCTGGCCCAGGAGGCTCCAGGTCGCCCACTCTCCTCTCTGAACCACCAGCCGGAGAGCAGTCGCCCCCTCCTGTTGGACCAAAGCCCAGAGAACCCCCCTCCCCCTTATGAGGAGGTCCAGTTGTCCTGTCCCAGAGACGGGAGGAGCAATGGGAGCGTCCTGCAGCTTCCCCAGTCTCCCTCAGACGATAAGGACACTTGATTCCTCCTGCAGGAACTCAGAGGATCTGATGAAGAGACTGACCTCTGAACCTGTTCTGTCTTCCCGTTTCCGGGTTCCTGAGCATCCGGACAAACGGGAAGCTGTTTGAGATGAAGCTGACGAGCTCAGACATGAATGTGCAGCATAGTGTGGATGAAGATGATGGATGTGATTTGCACGCACGTCTTTACCAGGATGAAGAGGGATTTCTGCAGCGTGGAGGTGTGAATTTAGTGTTTTCAGTGCCGTTCTGAAAACGTTAGTTTCTCCTGTCAGTGACGGGGTCCTTCGAGGCTGCGTGCTGTTACAGGAGGCTACGCGTTTCCATGGCGACGGACCTCCTGTCTGAGACTTTTGCACATGTCTGTTGTTGATCTGATCCTGGTGTTTCAACCTGCAGCTTAAAGGATCGACTGCTGCATTCTTTCAGCGAATAAAGGTTTTTATGAACGTTTTTGTTTCACAAAGTGCTAAAAACTCTCTCTAGTAAGCAGGAAGTAACATTTCTAACATAAGCTCGATTTTATGTCCTCCTCGCCTGAAGGCTCCTCTGCCTTCTCAGACTACGAATGTATTTAATGTTTGATTTTGATGCAGCAAACATGAACTAATATATTATTTACAGGATTATTTGTACATTGTAATATTGCACAGATCTATTAGAAAATAAAATTGGATGTTTTTTAGTTTGAAATCCTGGTTTTTGTTTTAATTTAAAAACTAAATTGTCCCTGTAGCTGTAAGTCTCGGCCCTGGACCCCAGCAGCAGACCTGTCCAGGCTGACGAGCTGTAGCTCTGTAGCATCCAGGGAAACAGCACTAGGGTGGAAAGTTCCGGTTGAAGATCATGAACGTTGTTTTACTTGTGTTTAAATGAAGATGAAGGTTGGAGAAGGCATGATGAAGATGATTAAAGCTGTGCTGCAAGGAGGACAAAGCTGTGTTCATGGAAGAACTGCATGAATATAAAATGGTGTCGTCTGCATATAAATGTATATGAGAACTGTCAACAGCATGAACGATGTTATTAATATAGACCCTGAATAAGGCTGGGCCCAGTATCGACCCTTGAGGAACGCCCATAGATAGAGGTAGAGGAGTAGATTGGTAACCCTCTGTTCTCACTGGCGTACGACCTAAGATATAACTTCTGGACCACGCCACGGATGTCTGAGAACGTCCTGTAGGTTTGAGTCTACTGAGTGAGATGTTATGGTCTACAGAGTCAAAGGCTTTAGCCATTCAACAAACACAGCTACACAATATGTATCGTTAGGTTCCTGTATGGTCTCCTCGTTTTGCAGATGATGTGGTCCTGTTGGCTTCATCAGAACGTGATCTCCAGCTCGCAGCTGGGATGAGAATCCGCTCCTCTAAATCTGAGACCAAGGTCTTGATTCAGAAAAGGGTAGAATGCCTTCTCCGGGTCAGGGATGAGGTCCTGCCCCAAGTGGAGGAGTTTAAGTATCTCGGGGTCTTGTTCACTAGTGAGGGAAAACTGGAGCGTGAGATCGACAGGTGGATTGGTGCTGCGTCTGCAGTGATGCGGGCGTTGTACCGGTCTGTCGTGGTGAAGAGAGAGCTGAGTCAGGAGAAGAAGCTCTCGATTTACCAGTCGATCTACGTTCCTACCCTCACCTATGGTCATGAGCTTTGGGTAGTGACCGAAAGAACGAGATCGCAGATACAAGCGGCCGAAACGAGTTTTCTTTGCAGAGTGTCTGGGCTCTCCCTTAGAGATAGGGTGAGAAGCTTGGTCAGCTGGGAGGGGCTCAGAGTAGACCCGCTGCTCCTCCACATCTAGAGGAGCCAGTGGAGGTGGCTCGGGACTCTGGAAAGAACGCCTCCCTGGGGAGGTTTGATCAGCTGGAACAGCAGATAAAAAATGCATGAGGTAATTATCACCGGCCTGAGCGTTAAACCCCGCTCCTACGCCAAGGTGGTAGCGGGAGGGAGGAATGTCAACGCGGAGGCTGAGACCGCGGATCTATAATTGGAAACTCAGGTTGTGACATTCCTGAGAGAAAAGAATTTAGAATTAAATGTCATAAATGTTGCCGCATGTCATACAATTCCAACGAGAGGCGCAAGCAAGCCTGTCATCTTCGTAAATCGGGGATCCGATGTTTATCTGAAGGAACATCTTACAAATACGACGGCAGAATTATCAAGAGTACCGCGCACCTCCAGGAAAAATGATGAAATCAAAGCAACGTGGACGAGGAACTGCCAAGTGTTTATTCCGCTAAACGGGACTACGCCACACAAGACACGTATGATTTGTGGGGATTTTAATATTAAACTTTCAAATTCCCACAACAACATTAAAACTAATGTTACGAGCATTTATAGAATCAACTTTCTTCCACTAAACCCACAAGGATTACAGCCGCATCCGCAACATTGTTAGATTATTTATTTACCAACAGTTTTCAAACACAAAGGACTTCTGGTTTACTTCTGAATGATGTTGGTGATCCCCTCCCAGTATTTGGTATTTTCATCAGCCGTTTAAAGGCTGCAAGTCATCCAACCGACTAAAATCACTGACATACGAAAAGGTGAGGCTCAGGACTCCAGGCTGCTCTAAAGGAAGATGCAGACATGAGGTTTATTCCACAACTCATCCTCGTCAGGCCTTTATGATCTTTTAACTAAATTTAAGAGCCTTGCGATGAACATTGTCCACTAAACAGATGTAGTAAGAATAAATATAACGACCAAAACCCACCATGAATCACAAATGATATAGTTAAATTATTTAGTTTAAAAATTAAGATCTAAAAGAAAAATATAAGAAATATCAAATAAATTCACATAATAAGATCAAGACAAAAAGAATATAATTAACTAATAGAGCAACAGAAAGATGGCATTTGGAAAGTCCTTGTCCAAAAGATGTTATTACAGATGGAACGATACAGACGATAATATTAAAACAGCAAATGCATTTAATGCCTTCTTTGTCAATGTGGGCCGCACTCGAGTCCAAGAAATAACCCAACAACCAGATAGTAAGGATATGGACATGAGCAACATCTTAAATGTTTATTTTTATTAGAGGTGTTGATGAAACAGAAATCATAAATATGGTGGAAACATTCAACAGTAAGAGATCCACCAGTTTGATTTTGATATGATTCTAATAAAGGGAATTATTGAAAATAGATTTTAATCAGTCTTTTCTTAGTGGCATCTTTCCTAAAAGTGGAGATAAACACAAGCTGACCTATTTCCTTCATTTCCCAATTTTCCAAATTTTAGAAAAGCTATTTGAAATAAGAATGACTGATTTTTTAATATAAATACTGATCGACAGTTTGGTTTTAGAGCAAATAGATCAACCTTGATGGCAGTAGTGGACCTGGTGGAAGAAATCACAAATGCAACAGATATGTTGGAAAATGCAGTCGGAGTCTTTATAGACCCGAGCGAGGCTTTTGACACCATAAATCATAAATTACTCATGTCAAAAATGCAAAGATATGGTTGTAGAGGAGTTGTGGTTAGAACGTTATTTCACCGGGAGACAGCAGTGTGTAGAAATGAATACTTAATGCTCAGAAACACATACTATAACAGATGGAGTCCCACAGGGCTCTGTTCTTGGGCCAACATTATTTATTTACATTAAGTATGTTTGTAAAGTTATTAAAAACATGCAGTGTGTTCTTTTTGCAGATGATATTAGCCTGTATGGTTCCGGACTAAATATTGAACAGCTACTGCAAACAGCCGAAAAAGAATTGGGATTACTAAAGCAATGGTTTAATTATGAAAGTTATCAATGGATGTGAATAAAACAAAACGTATGAACTTTAAGAAAAAGCGAATCGAAAACACAATAAAGTTAAAAATTGACAACATGGAAATAGAAAGGGTGAGCTAAGGGTAAGTTAGGAGTTTCGGTGGGAGTGAATCACATCCATCATATCGGAGACCCACTTCTCTGACTGTTCTTCAGGTTTGAACGGGTGCATCCTTTCAGCCGGCGGAGCGGAAGGAGCAGTTGCAGCAGGGAGAGCTGATCCTGCCGCTTCACCAGCTCCCCGATACAACGGGGGAGTTAGCCCAAGGGATAAATCATCGCATAGTTTTCTTAATACGTATACATCCTTCCCTGCTTCGCCTTCGTTATCTTTTTGTTTCCCCTTCTCTCTGTCTTTTGATTTAGTATTCCCCATCGTATCGAAGATGTTTTGTTTACTGGTTTAGTAAAACACGCTGGAAGAACTCCGGTGAGTTCTAGTATGAAAATGATCAGAAATACAATCAGACTGCTTATGAGGGCGTACCTTAAATGATTCTTTCAGATAACATTTGGTAGTCACTGAAACAAATTAACGCTTCCCTCTTTGGCTTCATCTAAACCAGGGGTCGGCAACCTGTTCCCATCAAAGAGCCATTATTACCCGTTTCCCACAGTAAAGAAAACACCGCAGCAGCCGCGGCGTTGTGGGCGGGGCCTACCCTCAGACAGCAGAGAGCTGCTCACAACAGGGGACAGCAGCCGGTACCGGTCGGTCGTGTACGTCAAAGTTATCTTTCATAAGAAGATAATCAATAAAACGATTTATATAAAATGGATCCAGAAGTTGTAGCCCGTCTCTGCTACAATATTTAGATATTTTTCACCCTGTTGGTGGTTTTACTGAGCAGGTGCCACTTTTGTCATACGTTTCTTTTTAAAACATGTTTAGACTGTTCAGAATACAAATCCAGGCTCTGTCACGTTTGATTGTTGTAATTAAACTTTGTAGGTGGGGAAGGTCAGAAAAGGATCCGATCATTTTGTTTTCCCCTCATTTACAGTGACGGAGATAACGGCGCAGTGCGCCTGGCTCTGGTTTTAGTCAAGTTTAATTTTATCTATTTTCACAAGAAAACAAAACAGTTAAAAGCAGGGCTTGTGTTGTGTTGACCGGATAGTTCCCGTATTTGATTGTTTATTTTGACGGAGAAAGAATTAATTTTAAACAAATATTTAGAGTGCCCAGGTAGCACATAAACAATGCAATTTAACGGTTTTCTTAAAGTAGGAACGTTTAACCAGAGCGCTCTCCTTCCTTCTGCTCTGCGTAAACCTGAGCTGGTCACCTACTTGTGCGTAATCAAATGTCTACAGGGGACAAGATGGAAAAGCCACGAGGTTCACTTTTGCCTCAGACCGACTTATCGCTGTTTTATGGTGTGGCTGAATCAACGCGCTGTTAATAGCCTGACACGCTTAGTCAGTGTGCTAATATAATAATAATGCTAAAGAGTGTGTGTGTGTGTGTGTGTGTGTGTGTGTGAATGTATGGGTGTGTGTGTGTGCGTGTATGTATGGGTGTGTGTGTGTGAATGTATGTGTGTGTGTGTGTGTGTGTGTGTGTGTGTGTGGATGTATGGGTGTGTGTGTGTGCGTGTATGTATGGGTGTGTGTGTGTGTGTGTGTGTGTGTGTATGAGTGTGTGTGTGTGTGTGTGTGTGTGTGTGTGTGTGTGTGTGTGAATGTATGTGTGTGTGTGTGTGTGTGTGTGTGTGTGTGTGGATGTATGGGTGTGTGTGTGTGCGTGTATGTATGGGTGTGTGTGTGTGTGTGTGTGTGTGTGTATGAGTGTGTGTGTGTGTGTGTGTGTGTGTGTGTGTGTGTGTGTGTGTGTGTGTGTGTGAATGTATGGGTGTGTGTGTGTGCGTGTATGTA